GTGTAGCTGTTATAGATTCTGTTAGGGTTATTTTTGCGATAGAAAGATAAAATGCGTATAGAGGAGCTTATATTTTTATTCAAGCTATAAACTCTTGACATATATAACGGGGTTTCCCCCTAAATATATTACTCGGCACATCCGTTACATTTTTTCCAACGGTTTTTCTTCTTTTCGTTAAAAATATCACTTGACATATTTATCAAGATGCTGGTAGTTCGTCGTTTCTTAATGACGTTCTTCCAAGTTTAAGACAAAACAGCAGAGAATAACTTTTACATACAAGGTCACCTGCTTAGGGGCTAGTCGCCACTATAACTTTTTTATTTCAAACCACTATTACTTTTTTTAGATATGTATCGTCAAATTCCGTCACCCTTTGCATTCTACCTACTATTAAAAAATTATCTCCAAGTTTGTAAACAATCTTACATTCATTTTTAACAAAAAAATTAACTACAACTTTTTTAAAAATTAAAAGACAATACATCTCTCTCGATTGAGAAAATTCAATATGTATGTATCTTTTCCGCAACGAAAATTCAATAATTCCAAATTTTCACCACCAGTAACGGCGGTGATAACATTTTTAACAGTAAGGCGATGTGTACATCTCTCTCGGTTTGGAAAATTCAATATCTATGTATGTTTTCAATCACGAGAATTGAATAATTCCAAATATTTCGAATTTCCACCACCAAGAACGGCGGTGACAACCTTTTTAACAGTAGGGAGATGTTTCGCATAGCTATGTCCTATCCAAAGGTGAGTGCATCTCTCTCGGCTGCGAGAATTCAATATGTATAGTTTCAGCCATCTTGTTCCTACATCTTTATTATACCTACTTTGTAGTCCATATTACAAAACTTGACGGGGTTACAAAAAAAATCATTGCCATTTTCCTTTAGACGATGTATCCATTTATTTATCTCAAGGTAAATCTAGATTCAGCCTGCCCATTTATCTTCATTAAGCTAAGTATCGTTGATTTCTTGTATTTTCTTTTGGCTACATTCGGTACTTTATATAAATTATTTCAAGATTAATTTGATTATTATCACAAAAGGTCCTTAAAACGACAACCTAATGTCGTTCACGGCTTATATCTTGCTTATTGATCCGTAGCGAAGTTTTATCAGAACTCCGTAGGGCAGCTGTTTCCCTGGTGCCTTCTAGTGGTATATGAAGCGGGATTTTTGTTAGTTTTCGTGACATTTTGGCTCCTTATTGAAAGTACATAGTGTTATAGAGATACGTTTTTTAACAGCTGGTTATAGGAACCATTGTGACCAAAAAAGGTCATTATAACTCCCAAAGTTGTGTTGTACCTCCGATCGAGAGATACGTTGAAACAAATGTAATAATGAGGAAGTCCGCATGGGCAATATGAAAAACAAATATGCAAATGGATTCGTAGCATTAATGCGCAAATGTAAATTTTTCGACATCCACCAAAAGCGAAATCGATGGAAGCCTACCGCTGAACTAGGTCAGAATCCGCTGTAACTTCAACCGATGCACTTTTTCTCTTGTTCGAAAAAAAATGTACTAGACTATCCGCGAAGTAATCCTACAGAAAATGCGCAGTGGAAAAGGGAAAGTCGTTCGTGGCGTGTCCTTTGCAAATAAAAAATAAAAAACCATCAAGTTTATTGCCTCCCGAACGAGCAAAGGGTCAGGATTTGACCATAAAAAGACGATATTGCCAGAGATAATTCCCCAAGATCTCACGTGGTTAATAAATGAAATTCTAATATAACCGGAGATTACGCTTCCTCTTTGGCGGGAAAATATATACACAATGGAGAAGGAAAATATTATCAATTTACATTTTTTTATAAATTCAAATTTATAAGCAATAGGGCTACATCTCTCCTCTTTCAGACTGTTGTCAAAGCTAAAAAAATGACATTTATGAAAGAAAGAGAAAGTAACAACTGTTTTTAATTTCGTTTCCTAAAGTCCAGTTTTGGAGTGACATAAATCTGCGACAAAGCTTCTCATAAAAAAATCACTGTTATTTTTTGTATTCCGAAGGATTTATCAGAAAATTACGATTTTCAGAATCAATGCCAATCCTCCAGGGACACACGATACGAAAACAATATATGTCTGCTAGCTACTTACTTTTCTTACAGCTCCCTGGATATTTCAAAACGTTTCTTTACTCCCTTACACTTATATTTATAAAATTCCGTATCTCGGCAGCGTTTACTTATTCCTTCTTTATCTCAACGACATATGTTCCAGAACATAACTTCGGGGTACGACACATTTGTTATATAGCCATACGGTAAAGCTCTGTTATTTATGTTTTCATTTTAACATTGAACTTGCGTCAAGTGGACCAGGGGTTCAAAAGTTTATTAAAAATAATGTTTATTTTATAGCTTTAGTTCTCCAGAACTGTCATAAATTGAATGTAAGTCAATTTTTATTTGTTTTCCTTTTGTTTGGCTTCCTCGATTGGGTCTATATATTTCGATAGAGTGGAAATACTTTTTAAACATTTCCCGTTTTTCTGCGCTGCTTTCCTTCATTTGATACACTCAATTTGTGATGTTTTCAGGTTACTTGTGTAAGTGTCTTTATATTCCTTTAAATTTGTAGAAGTGTACTAGCGATATAGAACTAACAAAGCGTATAGAACCTCTTAAGACAGCATACAAATTTTATAATAATTACTGTAACTCTCAAGTACAATGCTTTCGTTCACATCTACTTGTAGCTATACCTTGTCTTAGTCAAAATTCACTACAGTTTCCAATTCAATTCAGAAACCTTCCACAGCCCATTCACGTAGTACAAATCCTGCCAAAACAAGTAACCACAGACTACGTACATTGGAAGAAGTAGCTGTGCTACTGCTGACAGCGTGCAAATACGCGAAAATTCTACACAGTTCCGAACTTTTGAAAATTAAAACATTTCCAAATATTACGAAATTTGGATTGAAGCCATACACATCAAAATTATCAATAACCTCACCATCTCAAAGTCGGCGTTTTCAAGGAGAACCAGTTTCCAATTCAACACGAAAAGCACCAGAGTACCCCTGCGCACCCCACATAATGTATGTTCGAACGTCAGCCTTGGTAGGACTCTGCAACTAATACAATACTTACATAATAAAATTAAAAATTTAAATAAATTTCTATAGGATTTCTTTCTGTGATCATATTACATAGCTTGATGAAAAAAATTTATAACAGTAACACCGTATATAAAGAGATTTCATCATTAAGAGACTTTAATAACATCAAATGTTTCCAGTGTGTATATTCCATTTTTGTGGAATAATTTAGCGTCACATTGGCCTGGAAATTTTCCGAGATTGGAACGTAGCTAAATTGGAATTTGTAGATTTATCGACTGTATGATTTTAATTCGGCAAGGTAAACATTCCCGGCTCGCGTTTATTAAACCTCAAATTATCAGCCATTCTCCGTATTATAACACTTTTAATGTCGTACCGCCTCTAAATCCCTCTCATTTACAAAATCCGCCGTGGCAATTTGTTTATGCCGGGATAAGTTTGCAGAAGGAGAAAATAAATTCGCTTGCAAAGTTCGGAAAAAGAACAAACCGAAATGGATGTAAAATGTAAAAAACGTTGGCCAACGCAATCACTCTTTGTTGTTCGGCCATTCATTGGGGCAGACAACTTTTGAATTGGAAATGTTTCTCTCTGCGCGGCCGAATGCGGGATATTTTATCTCCCTCTGCTCTCAGGGGGGGTTTAATATTTTAGTGCATCCGATTTGAATAGATTTGCGTTTATGATTGTCGGGTTGTTTGCGTTCCATCGTTCTTAGAATGAATTGAAGGGGAAATAGACACCTCCAATTAATCGGTAGCATCCGAAAAAAAATTTATTTGGTTGAAAACCTTGTTGTGAACTTAATATTGTTATATTTTGTTAAATATTTTACCATTTTACTTTTTTACGTATTCTCAAATACCGTAATTTTATTTATTCCTATCGACAAAGGATGGTAAATGTTTATCCTACGGCTATGTCGCCTTGGTTGTTTGGATTTTGTCGTTTCTAAGATGTCTACAAACAAAGCTACTAAAAATTTGCAATTTTGCTGCTTTTAAATTATTATTTCTAAATGATTTTCAAATAGAAAGTGCAGCAAATGCATGCCTGCCTGCCTGCGAATTTTTATTGCTAGAGAAGTCGAAAGTGGGCTACGGACGAGCATATGGAAATTTCAAAGAATGGTACCAGAACACAAATACTGGTGTTTCTGAAATGTAACTGCTAGCATATTCAATACAGACGTCAAAGTGAATACTCAATGATTAAGTCAACTATTTTCATAGAGGAGAACGTGGATATATACAATAATGCCCCAAGCTGAGAACATTTTTGAAACATAACAATGATGGCTATACACCTAAAACGTCAAACGATGTAGTGAGGGTCTTAGGCATTGCAGGAGAATGCCGTTCTGATGAGTTATGCAAACTTACTTTGAAAAACGTCAATTTCAAAAATTTCGGTTCCTTTATTGTAGTTACAATTCCAGATTCTAAAAAATGGTATGCCACATATGTTTACAATTACTTCTCGTCTGGGTTCTGTTTCTCACCCAGAAATTCTCAAGAAATATTAGATCATTAGATTGGAAATTAAAACTGAAATATCACTCTTTTTTATGCGCTATCAAGCAGGTAGATGTTACAACCAACCAGTCGGCAAGAATACCCTTTCTATGATCCCTAATAAGATTGCACAGTTTTTGAAACATCCTGAAACTTATACAGGCCATTCATTCCGAAGAACATCGGCAACGTTACCCCCTCACTTACCTCCTTAAAAACAATGTATTAATAGTGTATTTACTTTAGTGGGAGCAGATAAAATATATTTTTTTCACTTTATATATTTTTAATGCATCAAGTAACCTAACCGTAACGGATAGCGTAACAATGTAACAAATAAAATTGATTATTTAACGAAATATTACCAATTCCGGTCTGTATTGTTTCAGATGGCAGCCGTGTGAGATGGAATTGCGTCAGTAGAAAACCGAGAGAGCGAGATGCAGATATTGTGGCAGGTGTACTCGATGCTGATACTACACGCCGTGAAGGAGAGCTCGGCCTGTTCGGTGTTCTGTGCATGCAAGTGGAAAAATGGGAAACAAACAGTCGAGTGCGGCAACAAGAACCTGGGCGAGATCCCGGACGGCATGGACCCCGAGACGCAGGTCCTGGAGTTCTCAGGGAATAAATTAAACAAACTTTCCAAGGAGCTTTTCCTCAAAAAGCAGTTGATCAACTTGCAGCGCGTTTATATATCAAGCTGTAGAATTAAAACCGTGCACAGGGATACGTTCAAGGGGTTAACGAATTTAGTGGAGTTGGATTTGTCGGATAATTTACTGGAGACCATTCCATCTGGCGCCTTCATGAATTGTCCCTCTCTCATGAAGTTAACTTTGAACTTGAACCCCATAAATTCGTTAAAAAAGTTCGCCTTCAACCATTTATCATATTTAAATACTCTGGAGCTTAGCAACTGCCAGATCGCCGACGTGGAGGAGGGGGCCTTCCAGGGGCTGCACAGCCTGGAGTGGCTACACTTGGACGGCAACCGGCTGAGGACGATACGCGGACGTCGCACGCTTCCCGAGAGCGTAAAAGGTGTGGAGCTCCAGAAAAACGCCTGGGAATGCGACTGTCACATCCAAGATCTTTCCGCTTGGCTCAGGGATTTTAACATTCCCCTCTCGGAGGACCCGGCGTGCCAGGGCCCCCCTCGCTTGGCGGGCCGCGCCATCAAATCGATACCGATCGCAGAGCTGGCCTGTCTTCCGGACATATCGCCTACGTCCTTCTATCTGGAGTTGGGGGAGGGCAAGAACGTGTCGCTGTCGTGTCACGTGCACGCCGTGCCTGAGGCGACGGTCTCCTGGTGGTTCCAAGGGCAGATGCTGCAGAACAACACGATGGTGGCGCCGGGCGTCCACTTACTTTACTTCGTCGAGGAGGGCGCCGAGAATAAGCGCAGCGAACTGTTCATTTATAACACCAATGCGGACGACAACGGTACGTTCATTTGCAACGCCGTCAACGCTGCGGGAACGTCGCAATCGAACTTCACGATCAAAATAATCCTGAAGGAGGACCCTATTGTAATTATCGTCTCATTTCCTTTGGAATACTTCTTGTTCGCCGTGATCGGGATCTGCGTCGTAGGGATCCTCGCGCTGATAGTCATTACGGTATTGATTGTTAAATGTCACAGAAAAAATAGGAGGCAGCAGAAGCGGGAGCACACCAAAGAAGTGGCAATGCAATTTCAGCAAAATGCAAATAAGCCCGGAGAGAACGTTGAATGCCTGCCGGATCCACTAAAGGTAATTCACGTTATTTTGTATTTAGAGTTGCAGTCTGGTGTAGAAGGGATTCCGTATACGTTTACGGGTTTATGGCCCGCGTTCGCGCAAGCAGTTTGTGGGGATGAAACGGAAAAACTTGGCTTTTTTACTGATTAAATTGCGACGACAAAATTAAAAAATTGTATCGAAGTAGTTTAGGTAAATGCAACCAATTGCATTGTGAAACACAAGAATATTGCTTTCGTTACTACTTCTTTTTAAAGGCTGAAGTAAATTCTGTAAAGATAATATATATTTTTAATTGCATTAAGGTAATAAAGGTTTTTGGGGATACTTGAGGATAAAAATGGGGATAGTTGGGGATAAATAGGGATAACATGGATAACATTGAGACTCTCACGACAGTATACATCAATCGAGGGCATCATTACTATAACGTCTACTGTTCTATTAGTCTGTTATTTAATTCGATTTTTTATAAGAGTTTCAGAGTCAATTCAGTAGTCATAAATAATTACATTGAATTTACGTGAGAATATAACAGTAGAGCTGTAACCCTTGGAGCTGTTTAGACTGAGGTAATTTGACACGCACCAATGAATTAATTTTTTCAAATTCATTTGCAAACAATCACAATCATCTTTTTATTCGATATACGAAAATATTTTCAAATCGTCAGCGAAAAATAACTTATCACATGTAATGAGTGAGCTCAAATCATTGATAACAATAGAAAAAAGCAATGGGCCTAGGTTGGAGCCTTGTGCAACTCCTGATGTAGACACGTGTGTTAGATTTGAAATAATTAAATGTAACATATTGAGTGCGATTTGACAAATAAGAAGCGAATAATTTAGTCAAAGACGCAGAAAAACCATGTCTCTCCAACTTCACCAACAGTAGCTTATTGCGTAACTATGGCGAATGCCTTCGAAAAATCAGTGTACACCACATCTACCTGCCCTTGCTGGTAGATAATATTAGATAAATATTGAGCAAAACAAATCAAGTTCGTATTAATGGAGCACTTATTCATAAAACCGTGCTGGTCTAGTCTATTGTTCTGAGAATGGAAAGTTTCTCCCGAAACATGATAAAAGTAAGACATCAATGAACAACGAAGAAAATGAAGTAAATGTATTGGCATTTTTCACCGCTTATCCACAGGCGTCAATTAGAGATGCATAATAAATTCACGTCTGTCAATAGGAACTATTTACAGAATTCTGAAGAAGCATAAATGGAAGCCATTTTCATTTATGTTAATACACGATTTGCAACCTGACAATTTACCCCGACGTGTAGTCGTCGTGTGTGTACCCAGAGTGTGCCATTATTATTGAAAACACTTGGAAAATCGACAAACTCGCTTTACAGCTATGACAGCAAATTTGCTAAATAAGTAGTGACACTTGGTGGCATTTAAATGTTTTTCCACAGCCAACCTACAGCTAACTGTCGGATTATATTCGTCTCTGTACTTATGTTCAAATATCTTTAAATCGGTGGGATTTAGGTATGGGGAATGTTTATACCAATGGAAAGAGAATTAACAGGTGCATCTACTGGCAATATAAAATACAGGGTTTCCTATTTAAAATAAGCGAGTTATTAAACTTTCAATTTGACACAATTGGTCCCTGTTTTTTAGACGCCCTGTGTAACATGCACTAACTTTCGAATATTCCAGATATTTGGACACGTTTTGTTATTGACCATCTAAAATTTCAGCTTCCTATCTTAAAAATTGAAGGAGATAGAACCGATTAAGTGTAGGTATGATTTTTTCAAAAATTTTGAAAATTTTGAATATTTTAAAAACTATTGAGTTTAAGGATAAAGTAAGGTTATGAAACTTACCTTAAAATTCGATGTAGAATCCAAAAATTAAATAAAAAATAGTACATTCCATTTGAAATAAGCGAGTTGACGTCTACTTCCGGTAGAACCGGAAGTTCCACGGCGACGCCAATATTTTCAATCGATAGAACATTAGGAGAAACCCCCGTACATAAATTCTCATAATTCCAGTACGCGTAGTTTTCCAGAAACGTCTAATTGAAGGTCTATCTGGAACACCCTGTATAACAAAATAAAATTATTATTGCAAAATAACAGACTAGCGGGACATTAACGTTTTGTAACAAGCTACCTGCACCAATTAAGTCCGTCCTAAGATTTGAGTCACTAAATTTTTACTAGTATATTCAACAAAAATTGTTATGTTAATGAGAATTCGCAATCTGAATTCCCTTTAGGGTATAATTTTAAGAGAAAACAATGTTAAAAGAAGCTAAATAAATTTTATTGAGTGCCTCTCATATAAACAAAATTTTAAGAAAGCTGTAAATTTTTATATATGTCACAAAAAGTGAAATCAATAATTTGAACACAAACTAAATTTACTGTAAGCATATTGATTAGATGTAAAGGGTATTCCAGTTGAAATTACCCATCTAAATTTCTTAAAAAAGTTGAAGTTAAAGTTAAATAACTGTAGGAAATAATTCCACTATATAAACGAAAATTGTAAATTGTGAACTTATAAAATTCTGTAATTGTAAGTTATAAAATATAAGTTGCTATCTCCAAATTTGCAATATACGATTTGGAATTTTACTCAATGGATAACGCGCCAGATTACGTCAGTTTATGACAAAATGCTGCTTGAATACTACCTAAAAACGTATATTTCTTTCTGAATTTACATTATCGATTCCCCAAGTATTATATAAACGAAATTTCACCTTCCGGAGACAAACACCCCTTCAGCTAATCCTAAAATTCGTAATCAACAAGTTTTGAGTTAATTTACAACTTGAAGTTTACAGTCCAAATTTACATTTTACAATTTGAATTGTTGTAAATTTGCATTTTCTAATTTGCAATTTACTGTTGTTAAGGTAATTTACACTACGCATCTTGGGATTGACAACGCAAATTTACAATTTACAAATTAACATTCACAATTTATTGTACATTTATAATTTGCCATAATGAATGTAATTTACAGTTCGTTACTCGAAACTTCGGACTTACAATTAACACACACAATGTAAAATTCACAATTCACAATGTATTAACATTTACAACGCTATCTCCCTTTCCATACAAACAATATACAGTGTAGGAAAGTACCGATGGTCTATCAGAAGTTACGTGAGAGCGATAAAGTAAGCCATAGAAATCCATGTGATAGACAAGGACGGCTATAATGAAGGCATCTAATAGTCAACGCCCATTTCGCCCTTCCACAAATAAGAAGTGGATCTTATTTGTGAAAGGGCGAAACGGGCGGTGTCTATGAGACGCCTTCATTATAGTCATCCTTCTCTATCGCATGGATTTCTATGGCTTACTTTATCGCTCTCACGTAACTTCAGATAGACCATCGGTACTTTCCTACCCTGTACTTAGAAATACATCAGCTTGCGCGAAAAAGTTGCTTATGAATAAGAACTCATATTTCCTTTCTACGTTTATACCGTCGTCTCCCCGAGCCGTATCTAAACGAAGTCCCTCCTTCCGCAGATAAACACCCCATCAGCTAATTGTGAAGAGGATATGATGGGGTACGGCGTGCACCCCTGCGAAGAGATGCTGAGCGCCGTGTCTCCGGTCAGGACCGCTAATCAGGCCAGGAGTCCCGCGTCGCTCAGGCGTTATCAGCTGGAGCAGAACCCCGACCTCATTAACGGCACCGAGAGCATCGGCTGCAGGCGCGAAGGCGACGGCGAGGACGAGCGGAATCAGGAAGCCTTCCAGGGCGAGCATGTCGGCTCGGTGATGGCGGGGCCCTTCCCCATCGCCTGTCTGAGAGGCAGCGCCGAGTTCTACAGCGATATTAGGTCTGTATGCTGCGGGATTAATTAATGGGTTGTGCCTTTTAGCTAGATTTAATCTAAACCGAAATAAATTGCGGGGCCGATTTATTTGTTCCGCCTCGTGTTCGGGCGGCCGATAATTTTCCAGCGGATTTGTGCGGCAAGAGTTACGCTTTTGAAATAGGTATCTGAAATTTATAATTCGCGTTTCATAATTCACAATTTACGATTTCCTTCAGTTTAGAATGTAGAATACTTGTAGAGTTTTCTTTTGATAATTTACAATTTACCAATAAATAGTATTCGAATTTGCAATCGTAAAAATCAATCGTTTGTTCATTTTGATTCTATTTGGTCGAAATTAACTTTCTAATGCAATTTTAATCGCTAATCTATATTTGGCCCTATCACTTTGTGATTTACATTTGTAATAAATAGAGATCGGAAATGTTAGGGTGACTACAGGGTTGATTGTAGGTTCTCTTTTATGTAATTTTATTGAAATAGAAAGTGACACAACCGTTGCCTTCTTATAACTGCACTCTTTATATCCTCGTCATTATTCAACATCTACATGTCTGCCTCTGATGTGACGCTTCCCATCGATCAATTTATTCGATAAGGTATCCTAATGCCTGCACTGTCGACCTTGCGAGCAAATGAACAATCCAGGTTTTTCGAAGAATTTGACGTTTTGGTTGGTCCAGTGTATGGCACATGTTTCTTTGGCTGTCAGTGGCATTGTGTATCCTGAGCATAGAGCGGGCTTCACCATAGATACTGTTTAGTTATTTGACTGTCACCACAGTTTCTGATGACTAGTAATAAATTGTATTAATTGAAACTTACCACTATTGGTTTGATAAAAACTTATATAGAATACACATTTAATATATTATAGATTTGTCCTTACGTAACCTTGCAGCATTTCCAGAAATTATTGACAAAGAAGTTTTGCCTTTTTTACAAACCAACCTAACTAGACATTTGCTGCAACTGCTTTTTTATATTATGATTACCCGTATTTAAATGATGACGATTTAATTTGAAATAACAAGTACCACATTTTACACAAATGACCGCATTTTACGTCGCCTTTGAAATAACTTAAAACTAATTTGTATTTTGCTACCTTTGTGTTCATGTTGTGCGTTCATCACATGACACGAAAGTCTAGCTTTCCAGCAATTCAAGCCCTACATTTACACAAACATCGGTTATCCTCCGACGCTACGTTTATTTAGGCACCTATACTAGCTCTTTGACATGTCTGATGTGAAACGCAAATTAGTTTTAAGTCTAAATATTAAATTAACTAGTGGTAATTTCAATAGAGGTCCGCTTTTTCTATTCCCAACAGAGCCACTAATATGAATATATTAAGTGACAGGAAACTGAAACTTGAACTTGTGTCGTTTTTACTGTCTGCCGTAAGTCACTGATTATTGATAAAAAGAATATGAATTAAAGATACGTCAGAGGCTAAGTCAAATGTCAAAAGACATGTGCTAAATTCGACTTTGCATTTGCACGGTCTGAAAATCTTGATTGATTGCAACATATTGAAGGTAATCCAAGGTAGTGTCCTGCCACATTTGCCAGACATTACAGATTGACTAAATTGACTTGTGTTCAAGTTTCAGCTGTTCAGTGGCAGACTAGCACCAGAGCGCATTATCTGCTCTACTGTTAAGGTCCCTGGTCTCTTCGACTACCACTGCTGATCACCTTCTTGACCTGAACATCTTGCAGACAAGATGGGTTTGGTCAAAGTATATCTCACTGAAAAACTGTACTTTTACCTTTAATAAAAACAGAGCAAAATGTGTGTCACATATCACACTGCTTTCTCACCTTCATCAGGCCATCATGATCTGACAATAGTGAGACTTCTTATCTTCTAGTTTTAATTAGAAATGACATGACCATCCAGCATTTTATCCAAGAAATTCTGGAAATTTATGTCGTATTTTAGCTCAGAACGCTTCCAAATCCAGTTTTTTAGCAAGACAATGCCTTAAGAAATACTGAACTACTTACTTTCAACATATTGCAATGGGTTTTTCGCTATAACCACTGAGATCTGCAGATCTTTGACTGATTTTGGCAGCACTTTGTTATGAGATATATCCATTAATGTATGAGTAGCCCACCAACGTACGATTAATTTCAAATTGGTTCGGAATTTTAATCGGTTGCTTAAGACAAGCTCCTGAATAAAATTCTTGAAATGACTGAAGACCCAGTGTCTTCGGTATTGTGTCACTTAGTATATCATAGATTCCGCTTCATTTTCAATTATCAACTCCAGTCGGTATGCCCTAGATTAGACGGCAAAGACTTCATATAGCGTTTTTCAAATTTATAGTGGCCCTATTTCTCAATTAACTCAAGAAAATGTAATGAACGCTCAACCTATAAATTATCCCTGTTCCTTCGCTTGTTCTAATTCGCTAACGATAATCGATGAAAGAAGCCGTGCTTCCTCTCCAACCCGACGTTTCGGATCGAACCGTACGCCGCCCGCGATTTATCAGAGAATTATCCCGGACATACACACTCGGTTCCGTTGTATATCCATATTTATTGCCACAGGGAGAAGAATTATAATTTCGCGTCGATGTAAATCGCGACGATTTGTCATGGAATTTATGAAAATGTATACGTTCCTACTTTATGAATATTATAACGGCCTATACAGTGATTGATTTTCTTGTCAGGCTCCCGTGCCTTATTCACGGTCCATATAATCAGGGGAAGATTGGAAAGAAAGATGACTTGCCAACGAAATACGGTCAGCATTAATGTTTTCAAACATACAAACGTAGATAGGGCTGGAATTTCAGAATTAAAAAGTAAAATCGTAAATAGTACTTTCCAAAAATTACATTGATTTTCTAACTTGTGGTCATAGGTTCTTCTCTTACGCAGTATACTGGGCGACAGAATCAATGTCTTCGGGTTCCACTTAGCTTCGGAAAAACTGTTCATTATCTGTCACATATATGGGAACACACTCTGAACAAAAATTACATCTTATAATAAAATTACCCAGTACGACAGCTGTAAGAGTCGATTTCTTTTATTACTCCAGTCGGGTTAGACAAAAAAAGGGCTTAACCGGGAAAAAATTGGGACCACAATTTTATTGTTCTAACCTTTAGGGGGGGTCAATAGTAGTGTAAATTCAGAATCGCGACTGAATTCCACCTCTGCGTCAGCTGCCATCTTGAATTTAAGGAAAAATCGTTTTTTGCTCAATATCTCGGCCATTTTCAACTTTACAACAAAATTGATAAGGACTTAAGTTGTTGCAAATGCGATTTCCTACAACTTTTTTTATTACAAATTTTATCGTGAGATCGATATTTTTCAAGTTAAGGGGGAAAATAGTGACAAAGTATAATTATTGAATTATCTCGTTTGTTATTGACTATACGATATAAATGTACATAAACAAAGTTGGAAAGAATTATATTTTCTACAATTTTGATCTCTTTAATTTTTTCGCTATACCAATATTTAAGGTCATACGCTTGTGCTAAAGACGCGAGCGTAGGACCTTGCGGGAGTTGGTTTCAAAGGAATTGTTTTTGCTCAATATCTCGACCATTTTCAACTTTACAACAAAAATGGTAAGAACTTAAGTTGTTGAAAATGCGATTTCCTACAACTTCTTTTATTACAAATTTTATCATGCGATCGATATTTTTCAAGTTAAGGGGGAAAATAGTAACCAAAGTATAATTATTGAAATTAAAATTAAATGATTATTAAAACAATTTTTCCTTAAATTCAAGATGGCGGCTGACGCAGGGGTGGAATTCAATCGCGATTCTGAATTTACACTACTATTGACCCCCTTAAAGGTTAGAACAACAAAATTATGGTCCCTAATTTTTTCCCGGTTAATTGACAACCCGACTGGGCTATATGTATTCGATTTTTAATATGTCTCGTACACTGACAGAACACCAGCCCAACAAAATCTATTCACAAAAGCAGTTTATGCAGTTACACTGCGATATAAATCAAGAAACAAATGTATTATTTTGACTAATAAACCTGAAGGAGATTTATATTTATATGTTGTTTAGATGCAAATGTTTTATATTTAATTATTGTGGATTTTATCTTGAAAAACAGACGTTTCTAGACGTACTTTCTAGGATTTTTTTTTATTTGAACAGCAGAATTCAAATTTTGGTCAAAGTTTTGGCAAATTGATCATGAAAAAGAACTGTTATGTTAATAATTTATCTGCACTTCCATTAGTTGTTACAAGCACAGTGTTTTTAATTTTACAAATGTCAAAGTTGTAGGAATAAAACGTATAGATTTTGGAAGGTTTTGTAACCTGAGGAGTTATTTCTTTATATATCTATATATCGTTATGACAGTATCATAACGAGTCTGGATTTCACAAGAGTTTACTATTTAATTCTCGAAAGGGAGTTTATAATTATCACTATACCTTAATTAATACGTGGGAACTTAGAAATGTTGTATGTTCAGAGAATTAATTTTAAGCACTTACCATCCATTGCTTACGTAGAATGTAGTCCAGTGACACTAAAGTTGAAAGAAACAAAAGGAAACACCAAAACTTCCAGAAAGGATTTTAATAACAATACACAAAACAAACAAACAAAATAACGACACAACGGCTCGAAAAACATTATTAATTACTTTCTTTACACGCGACAGCGTACCGAGATTCAGGGAATGCGAGATTCATAGCAAAATTTGGAAAAAAACTTTATCCATTATTAAATTTAATTAATTAGCTCGAGACTGTAAAACTAAGTCGACTGCTCAATGTGGAACCTAGGGAAGAACTCCTTTCTTTCGAGATCTCTCCTGAATTCGACACTTCGCCTCGACACGCCCATTTCTTGGGTCCAGAATAGAACATTTCTGTTCTTATCTTACCGGCGGGAACCCTGAATGTCGGGACGCTTTGGCATAACTATGCTATGTTAATAATTACCTAATTGACTGGACTTACAAACAACCCTATACCTTCCTCTTGTGACTCCGCATAGCAATACGGGACGGATTAGCCATCTCATTTACTATATTCTTAATAGCTTGGAAAATCCGTCTAAAAACCAGCTAATTTACTTTCTTTTCCTCACAACATTCTAACAACTTATTCTTGAAATTCCTACGTTCTTTGGAATGCATTTCGCGCGTTATTTGAAATATCGATTTTTCTCTTTATACTAGATGTTGTAGTTTAAGTGAACTTGTTAAAAAAATTGCTAAATGTCTCCGAAGGACGACGCTACTTACTTGAAAGCCCTCAACTTTCGATAATTAGTGTTGACTGAATTATTTTACTTTTTGGCCCATCCGTTCCGAGAACTAATAAATAAATTACTACTCGTCCCGGCTTTTGTTACAGTTTGCTGTATCACAATCGATCGAAAATGTCCGGTTTAGAAAATTAGTTTTAGTTTCTATTAATTATGGGATGAGTAATTGGAGTTGCAACACCTATTCCAACGTTAAATAGCGACAAAAAGAAATCGCTATCAGCCCCGGGCCAACTCCGAAACTAATTAAATCCATCCTTGAAATAGACGAAGCGGACTCGGCACATTTTAAATAGCATTTGGCCAACCCATTACTCTTAGAGTTTATCTTGCCCACATTCTAAAATTTACAGCCCCGTTATATATAATCTCACGACCACATTTCTTTTTCCAGATGCATCGTCGACCCCGATGGCTACCCCATAGATTACGGACTACCTAAAATACCCTGTCGGACACAATGCAGCGACAGCTATTACAGGACGCTGCCTACAAATCGAATGAAACGGCACTCCGCTGCAAATCCATTAAAGCGATATTCCAGAGAGGCAGAGTTCCTCTCCAGGAGCGTCGACTCGCCGTACGACTACCAGACGGATGTCCGATACACTGCGGACGGGTATGTCTTGTTCATTTATTAATATTAGTAGAAAATAATTAAGCATATTTATAAATCTATGAACTATACAGGGTGTCGCACTAAGGTCGGCGAGGTACGATGTTAGAGAAAAAAAAATTTTGTTTAATAAATCTACCAAGAGAAATCACTGGAAATAGTTTTCAAGTTGATAGCTCGGCCGCTAGAGGGCGCAATCTACATACCAAAACATAGAGTTGAATTTTTCTCATACCTAAATGCTTCCTATTCAGGTATATTAAATAGTACAAATATGGATAGCTGGATTCATTGCGCATAACTTTTATTATTGACATTTTGTTCTATCTCCCGACAGAAAGGGTGGGGGAAGCCCCTAATGTATAATCAGAAAAATGCATTTTTTTAATGATTGGCTCATCAAAAGCCCATAGTGTTATACCTCGTTGGAAAGGTCTTTTCATGCTTTATCTGGTGGTGAATGCATAATGTCATTTACCTCAACATGGACACCCTTATAATATAGGGTGGCCCAAAAAAAACGAATATTTTTTTCTCACTTATTTGCGAATAACTTGATAACAAAAAAAGATATCGACCCCTTTTTGGCGTCAAAATGTAGCTATTTTTATGCTCTTCAAACTAACCCATAAAAAGTTTTATACTGCTATTTCATTTTTTTAAGAAAACGTGAAACAACCTAATCTTGGATGAATAGCACCAATAAATAAACAACACTTCCATTAGAAATTTCAAACTTATACTATATTCATCTATACTACAGTATTGCATTTAAAATTTTTGAGAAAAATCCATAAAACGGCATTCTTTTGAAATAACAAATCATCTATAGGGTGGCCCAAAAAAAAACGAATATTTTTTTTTCGTCTCTTGTGAATGTGTGGTATCATGTTTTGAGCCCTCTCAAAAAATCAGCTCAAAAAAAAATTTATAGAGGGCGCTCAAGGTTTAAAAAATTTCCAAAATCGTCAAAATTTTATTTTTTTTTCTCGTTATTTTATAATTTTTTAGAAAAAAATCTCGATTCTGAAAATTTCAAATCGATATTTTAATTTCTATAGGTCACTCATAATTATTTTAACTTTAAAAGTAGTGTACCTAAAATGTTTTCGAGCGACCTCTAAAAATAAATATCAACGAACCAATAATTTTGTTTATTGAATTTGATGAACAAAAGAATAGGATTAAATCACGAGGCACTTAAAAAATTTATTGAGACAAAATTTACTACCGCACTGAATCAAATATTTATAATTTTTTAATTTTTTAAAATTTAAGTGTCGTGATTTATTTCTATTCTTTTGTTCATCAAATTCAATAAAAAAAATATATTAGTTCATTGATATTTATTTTTTAGAGGTCGCTCGAAAACATAGGTATACTACTTTGAAAGTTAAAATAATTATGAGTGAATTTTAGAAATTAAAATATCGATTTGAAGTTTTCAAAATCGAGATTTTTTTCAACCTAGAAAATGATAAAATAACGAGAAAAAAATAAAAAAAAAATCAATTTTTGACGATTTTGGAAATTTTTAAAAATCTTGAGCGATCTCTAAAAAAAATGATAAACTAACATATTTTCACGAAAGACACGAACAAAAATATTCGTTTTTTTTGGGTCACTACAGACGTACAAAAGAATGCCGTTTTATGGATTTTTCTCAAAAATTTTAAATGCAACACTATAGTTTTCTATAGATGATGGTATAAGTTTGAAATTTCTAATGAGTGTTTATTTATTGGCACTATTTATCCAAGTTTAGGTAGTTTCACGTTTTCTTAAAAAAATGAAATAGCAGGATAAATCTTTTTATGGGTTAGTTTGAAGAGCATAAAAATAGCTACATTTTGACGTCAAAAAGGGTTCGATATCTTTTTTTTGTTATCAAGTTATTCGCAAATTAGTGAAAAAAAAAAAATAAATAATGATAATGAATTGAGGAACACGACGCTAACGAAAGGACATTTAATTACCAAAAGAAAATGCGTTTATAAAAGAACCTACTTAAACCCACGCAAATGAGTGAGTCAATAACAATCTTGAAAATAAAAACAAAACAATAGCAAACAGATAATGATATTATGTAACGAAAGAATAATAAATTCTTAACAAAAGTTTTTACTTTTTTGCCTCTAGTTTTTTTTTTTTGAGTAAAGATAGGTGTAGGCATTGCCATAGCCAATTTTTCGATTTTCGTTATACGTTTTAATTCTCATTTTTTGCAAAAAAAAAGGAAGGATTCTTTCAAGGATTTTCATCACATGACTTGTTCGAAGGGTCATTAAAAATGAAAAAAACCGCGGGATGCTATTATATTAGAAAAAAAAGTTGAAATTGACAGGGGTGAAAATACACATTGCAGTTTTTTAAATATAGCACGAAAGCAAAGCAAAATTTCGGTATAGTTGATTGGAAAAATTTTGTATAGAATTGAATTTCCCATTGAAAAGGCTTATTTAAAAAATGTAAAAGAAAAATTTTATGCAAAAAATTGTTAATAAACAATTTTAAAAAAGTAAAAAAAAATTATTTTAATTTTTTTACGTTTTTGACTAACTTTTTTTTTAGTAGAAGTAGACAAAGAAATTTGCTGTAGAAAAAAACTAGATTTCCTTCAATATGATGCGTTTTCAAAAGTTTTTGGACTAATATTTACCGAATTATAACCGGTCAAACTTAAATAGTTTGTAGATTTTCGTCGTTTTTAACATAAATTAGTCAAAAAAGTTACAAAAAAGTAAAAAAATCAAAAAATCTTATTTTTTGCTTTTTTAGATTTTTTACATAATTTTGCATATTTCGATGTGAAATTCAATTTTCTACAAAATTTTTCCTATGAACTATGGCGAAATTTTGCTTCGTTTTCGAGCTACAATTAAAAAACTAAAAGGGGTGCATTTTTCACCCCTATGTCCAATTCCCACCCTCTAATTTTCATCTAAAACCACCATTAGAACGATTCATATAATAAAATATCTTGAAGGACATAGTTCCTTTTAAAATCCTATAATCAATAGCCTATTTATTTATATTCTACGTATTTATGAATAAGAACTTATTGACTTCAAAGTTTTAGTAAAACGTTATTATTATATTTCCCAATTTTATTCTTGTAGTTGGAAGGAGCTTTAATTCACTTACTGAATTAAATTAAGTAATTACATTTGTCGCAATATCTTTGTAGTATACGAAACAATAACCAAACTATACCTTTACAAATTACTGAGACATTAAGATTTCTGAGCAGTTAATATCGAACATTACGCAATAATGCCGTTCTCATCTGCTGATTCACTCCGACATTTTTGTTCCATCTCGAGAACATTTCCATTCATTATGTTTCTAATTAGCTTAATTCGTACTTGGAATCTGAACTCGGCGACAAAGGTGGAGATATATAAAGAAGTTTAGCTTTTCGCATTTAGAAGACGGCTTTTCATACCGCTTAGCACTGGTGAGCCACTTTTGAGAGGAGGCGCGTTGTTTTTATTTCCTTCGTAAATTACTGCACTTGAGCTTCGTTAAAGTTTAAGGGGAGAACAGGGAGTCTAATCCGGTTCGGCGTATCAAAATTTAGTCTTACGCTGATATTCTGAGTAGGGACATTTTTGTAACTGATCCGACACGTTCGTCATGTTCTGCGGATGGTTTGATCCTCATCATGAAATATTCAGGTTTTCAAAGCTGATCTTTTAGGGGCCCAGTTAATGAGGCTTCCATCACACTTGTTCGTCTTTTAAAAACGCTTTGAATAATACACTACAGGAATCCCAAACCCGGATCTGATTTCCATGATCTGTTCAGCAGGCCGTGCAATTTTCGCGTTACCGATTTAAAAATGTTTGGGGCGAAATGTGGGTAGAATATTTATATTCTGTGTTCTTTCCAGTACACTAAAGGAATTAAACAATATTAAATATTTATACAATGATTCTCAACTAGTCTAACAACAGTCAAATAACATTATTCGATACCAGGAATATAGGCATGTTGTAGGCAACAAAATGATATTTATAAGTCAAAATTGCTGGTCGGGTTGCGGTAATAAATCAATTGTAGGGGCAGTTATTCGTAGCTACGGATTCTGAATAATGAAGTAATGTGAAAATAATATTACACTATCTAGTAGTCAGGGGAAGGATGTGATTAAATGCATTATTTATGTTTGTTTGCCTTTGGCCAGGGCAGCATAATATATCAATCGCTCAAACTATGTCCGGGTAGCAAAAAATGGGCTCTGAAAAATGAGCGTATCCGTTATGTTCATTTTCACTATCCCACGTGAAGTTTCGCCTAAAATATCCATATTTTAAAGTTCTTATTATCCATTTCTTATACTCAAAATAACTGCTGGCACTAGGTAATAGTAATCACAGATAAAAATTGTCCTTCATCTGAAGAGGCATATAAAAAATTGAATAACCTTTTTCAAAATGGTGTTCAGAATTTATTAAAAAAAACAACTGACAAGTGCGTTGTTAAAAGGGCTCAATAGCAATTTTTATAGATTTTATTACACAGTTTGTCTAAATATGAATTAATGCACAAATAACAAACTTTCCCCCATTTCAACGCAGATTTTCCATGAAATGCACTTAGTTTGAAACTCAAGTTAGGTTTTGGTGTAAAGAAATTTGTAATATACGACACCAAAAGCGGCAAATTACAAATTTCTTTACAACAAAAAGTAATTTGAGTTTCAAACTAACTCCATTCTATAGAACATCTGCGTTAAAATGGAGGAAAGTCTATTATTTGTGCATTAATTCATATTTAGACAAACTGTGAAATAAAATCTATAAAAATGTATTGCTGGTTGCTATAGAGCCCTCTTAAGTATTTTACCGAAAACAGTTAATTTGAGAATGAGGTTAAGTAAGTCTTTAAACTGTTCCCCAAGGAAATATGAACTACGGAGTACCATATTCAGATATTCATGAATTAAATTGAAATTGTATGAGGCCGATTTCGCGGCAGTGCATAATTGATCAGCAATATACACTTAAGGTTCAAAGGTCGCCAAGTTATAAATACATTATTGCCGTATATAAATTGGTATATTTTATGTCTCCATATTTCCTTGCACTTTCAGAGGTTATAGAAACGAATCGAACTTTATTTTTGCAATAACAATACAATAAACATTTCTTAATGGGTTGCAATGTAGTCGCTATTAATTATCTGAATATTTTAAAGGGAACTTTGTGAATTAGTGGAAAAGAAGCAAAAATCCGGACTCGATTTAAGACAGCGGATATAATTTACTTTGTTCCGATAATTTTTCTGATTGAGGGTGCATTTACTCGGCCAAGTAAGAAATGAAATAATCTCGTAAAGGAAAAGTTTCACTAAGCTTTGTCGTATAAGATCAAAAGAGCTAAAGTAATACCATCTGTCGATTTTACTTCAAAAAATTAGTGAGCAGCAGCTTGTCGTGTCTAGCCTAAAACAAGTGTTTGATTTGAGAGTTCAATTTTACTTGAATTATCATTACTTGCTTTTTATTTTTATTTACGTCTTGTTGTTTTTGTAAAAGGTCGTTTCTAGCGAAATTTTAGGAGTAAAAATTGAAGTGCTCTGAAGTGGATTCTAGAGATAACACCATCAGTCACCGCTTTGGCTATTTCAGCTGCAGGCAATTCATTGAACGCTCTTCTATTCGAGCAATCAAATCCTATTTTGAAGCAACGGGTGTAGAATAGACATTTTATTACTCCCCAAACATAAAAATCTAATGGATTGAGGTCGGGAGACCTCACTGGCCAATTCCACGGTTCTAGGCGTCTCATCCATCTATCTTGAAACATTTCAGTGAGCTGTTGATCGATTTGATTGTGACAGTGAGGTGGAGCCCCATCTAATTGATACCAACACTTCCTTAGTTGCTCTAAAGCTACATCATTTAGAAAATCTGCCACACCCGTTTTCAAAATATTGAGATATATGTCGTCATTTAAATTTTCTTCGTAGATATGGTAAGAAATTTGGTTATCTTTAATTAGACAAAAAACATTTACGCTAAATTGATTTTGAAAGTTTCAAAATTCAAATCGAAGTAGTCTCTGAAATAATTCTAATGGACCGTCACCGTGAGACACCCTGTATGTGACGTCACCCTAAAAGAGTCTATTGCAATGACTCAAAGCTTAGCATGGACCTAATCGAATGCAGATACATTATTTAATTTTTTTACCGATGTTTCCAATTTCGATTTTAATCAAGCCAGTTTCAGCATTCAAACAAAACCCTTTCCGCCTTGTTTCAGATACCCCGCCAGGCTGCCGAGCGGCGCCGAGCAACACCCCCCAACCGTAGAGAAGTTCCCAGAGCCCGCGGCCCCGGCATCGCTGCCTTGCTGCTCCGTGCAGTGGCCCACGTGCGTACCCGCAAATCTGCACATAATAAACTCAGGCCTGCCTCCAGGCGTCAACTACGCCCAGCCGAAATGTGTAACTAAAAGGTGTGTAGGTGCGCAGACAGACACGGAAAGTGATACCGAGAACCCCGAAACTCTAACGGCCGATAAGAGTGAGTCCGGGGTGCATGTGGAGGACGACGCCGCTAATGAGATGTTGACTGAGAGCCCCGATGAGGGCTACGAGGGGGAGCCGTCCGTGGTGTAGTTCGGAGTGATGAGATCGAATTCGCGCGCTGCCATCTTTCAACTTTCCTCATCCTAACGTGATTTCTTACATTTCAAACAACAGGGTAAATTAGTTTTACGTATATTTGGGAGTTAAGTTTTATATCCGAGTTCAGTGTTAGGTGGTTCGGTATAGGAACGTTGTGTGCGTACGGCGTAGAGGCGGTAGCGGATCGTGTAGGCGTATTTGTTATCTTTGTACAACCCACTTTGAGTATATTTATCACTAGGGAATCGTTAGACTGTTGGTAGTTCAATACCCATGTGTAAATGTTAATAGATTTTTAATAAAATTTTTAACCGCATTCTTTTCATTCCACAACATTAACAGCAGGTTATATAGGGTGTCCGGAAATTAATGCAACAAAATTTGGTCATAGATTCTTGAGACGAATTTAGGGGACCCATATTTTTTATTTTTGCCAAGTGGCCCCCTCTTTCGGAGTTACAAATCCCTGAAATCTGCCCCTAAGAATAGTCTTTTTTATATCCCAGAACCCTGTTGTGCAATCGCTAAAATTGGTACACAGGGGTTTTATGACATGTGGAATCTGATAGTGCTACGCTTTTTGGCGAAGAATCCCCTTAAGACACTTTTTCGCGGACCCCCTTGTCTTTGATGCAAAAAAATTTGGTCGCAAATTTGAATTTCTTAATAATTATTAGTTACCTAGAATGCCATTGAATCTAGAAACTTTTTTGTCTCTCGATATTTTTTTAGTAAAACGCAATGTTTTTGAGAAAAATGGAATATGCATTCGATCACATTTTGACATTTTTCTCGAAAACATTGCGTTTTACGAAAAAAGCATGAAGAGGCAAAAAAGTTTCTAGATTTATTGACTTTCTAGCGGACTAATAATTTTTTAAAAATTTATATATGCGACCAAATTTTTTTGGCTCCAAAGACAAGGGGTCCCACGAAAAATTGTCTTAAGGGGGTTCCCCGCGAAAAAGCGTAGCACCATCAGATTCCACATGTCATAAAACTTCTATGTACCAAATTTAGTGATTTTCGTGCAACAGGGTTCTGAGATATAAAAAAAATATTATCAGGGGCGGATTTCAGGGGACAGTAACTCCGAAAGAGGGGGCCACTTGGCAAAAATAATAAATCTGTGACCAAATTTTGTTGCATTAATTTCGGAACACCCTGTATTATTATTGACATCCAAATAAAATGAACACCAAGGAAAATATTTTGTAGAGATAGAAAAATTACTACTACGAAGTTGCCAAAGAAAAAAGAAAAAAATCAGGTTTATGTACAGTAAAACAACGGCAATAAATAAAAATTACCGAATAATGTTCTTGATGCCAATTATATTTGAATGATGAGCAAGCAAAAAGCAGTTTATTCTCTGTACATGCAAGATAAAAGTTCTCCTTGCCAACCGCATTTTAAAAAAAGCAAAAATATTTACCAAGAATGCCTTTTTCTCGTAAAATGAACAACAAAAATGTTTTAATGTCCGTTTCTATCAAAGTAGGCCGATTAATACACAAATTGAAACTATAATATAAATTTCAGTTCTAAGCAACTTTTCTTAATAAGGTATTTCTGTATTGTTAACAAAAAGGCAGTTTATTCTTGAACGATTTTTATGTTCACCGATTTTCTGATCACCCTGAACATGCAAGATTTGCTTGATTGTGGAACTCACGTGGAACACCAGCCAATTAGAGAAACGCTTCACGCATGTAGCAAGACCAAAGCATTCTGGCCGTGCACATGCACAAGATGCACAGGGTCGGATTACATTTATGGTTAATTTTCTTAATTAAAATTTTTTCGAAAACAGAAACATTTAGACCATCGGTTGCTTAATAAAGGTTGCTCATTTTCTTACCTTCTATCGCCCTTTTCAAGGACTTATATCAGAAACACCCTGTATATCTTAAAAATATATATCACTAGAAACTAAAATGGGTCACTAACATTGTGGATGATTTACTCTAAACGATGACACTAGCTTATAAGTCACTGTTGACTTAAGAGGGCTCTATAGCAAATAGGCAACCAGCAATACATTTTTATAGATTTTATTACACAGTTTGTTTAAATATGAATTAATGCACTATTAACAAACTTTCCCCCATCTTAACGTGGATTTTCCATAAAATGGACTTGGTTTGAAACTTAAATAACATTTTGGTGTAAAGAAATTTGTAATTTGCCGCTTTTGGCGTCGTAAATTACAAATTTCTTTACATTAAAATGTAATTTGAGCATCAAACTAACTCCATTTTATAGAAAATCTGCGTTAGAATGGAGGAAAGTCTGTTATTTGTGCATTGATTCATATTTAGACAAACTGTGTAATAAAATCTATAAAAATGTATTGCTGGTTGCCTATTTGCTATGCCCTCTTAACTGAACCAGCTACTAGTCACTTAGAAGTCATTTGACGTATTAGTCACTGTAAGCTCATGAATCACCAGTAGCGAAGCAAATAACTCTTCTCTTAATTTATAAATCACTGTTTATAAAGTCGGCAATTGATAACTTAATTACAAATGGTTATATATTATCTAATAAGTCACTAAGTACTGTTTGCAACAATTTTACACACTTTTACAGTGTAACCGAATTTATAATGTCGCCGTCGAGGTGGCATTTTAAAGTTTTCCAGTCAGACGTACAGCCGCGACTTTTTTTTCGCTTTGCAGCCAGACTCCGTTTTGTTTTTAACTTTTAATTATAAAACTTTATCCTCCTGTAGCTGACATGTGCTGGCAAAGTTAAAAAGGAGAACGGCGGAGGATTCCAGCTATTAGAAATTTATGACGACTTTTCTAGTTTTTTGCTAGGAAAAGAAAAAGAAAGTCACCTGTACATTCAGAAGTTTTAAATAACCCACCAAGGTGTGTCAGTTCAAGGAGAAGACTCGGACAGTTTTGCTCGGCAAAAAATGTTAGAAGTAGAAAAGTGAGTATGATGATAATCGAAATAAGTTGTTGTTGGAATTGAACTTCTCGTAATGTCTCCCACAACAGGATGCGAAATATTTACTTGCTGTGCGATATTTCTGGTGCGGGGGCACGTCGTTCAGGATATCTTGCACGGTACACTTGACAAGCTCTGTGGGCATCTTCGTTTGCTTCGCCATAAATTATGAGCATATTATAATATTCGCGAAACTTGGAAATATGACTATTAAATATACTCTCGAAAAACAGCACAGCAATCACTACAACAATGCGTTACAAACTGACTTTCGAAGACGGTAGTCCGACTTCATAAGAAACCTACAAATTCGTTAAAAGTGTTACAGAATTTTTTGTAAGTACTCGCCGCGATAAAACACATGTATTTCAGCAGTCCCAAAACAGTTTTAAACACATATTTAATTAGTTTTTTTCTCTACGACCTTAAACTTCTTATACAAGTTTGTGACATCAGTTAAGTCAGTTTTTCCTCCTTTTCCACCCCTTTAAATTTTTGACATCAGTTCACTAACACCTTATATGGAATAATTTTAAGGGTCCGTAATGTTTAATTACAATTTTTAAAACCATGGACCTATAACGCGCTGTACAACACTGCGACAGCAGGACTTTTATTTAGGGACGTTTGAAATGGGAGATCCATCCAGTCGAGTTAATACTATAACTGCAGTAACGGGTCCCGAAATTTCTATTAGGTTTGTCAGGTGACACTTAACGCGGGCTTAATTTCACTTCCAGACGTATTTCACTAATCAACCAAGTTTGGCGTGGCCTCGACAGCACTCCATCGGATGAGGAATGGGTGAAGGGCATCTCTGTTTACCGAACCGTATTAGACATTAGTTTTTATTAACAGCTTGGCCGTAGACCTTCCTTCGTCTGTAGGTTCCACATATTTTTGGACAGTGAAATCCCTGCTTACTGCGTTTAAGGGAAATTAATTAATAGGGAAAAGTAAATAGGTGTTTTGTACAGGATGTGCGGTAATTATGAGCAATCGAAACTTTATCGAAAAGTCAATATTAACTGAGTTACATAATTTCAAACGACTTTTTTGATACGTGTAGTTGTAAGGGTACAAAATTAAAAAAAAATCGAAATTGAAAGAAGTTGCGATAAAATATTTAAAAAAATTGCAAAACTAAGCTTTTGAGATAAAAATTTATAGAGTAAATACCACTGCGGTTTCAAATTGGGATTTATTACTGTAATTTCAGAATTTAAAATGAAATTATCCTGATAATGTTTTTTTATCAGCATAAGGTTAAGGAAAAATAAATAAAGAAATTATATATTACGTGGGCGTAATATTCACAGTTTTAAAAATGCATCGATATTAGGGAATTTTGTCACAACTTGGCAACAGTGCAAGTTCAATAATTTGACATAATTTTAGGACAGCTGATTAGCGTGCGCTAGGTTTTTTATAGCGAATGATAAAAAATCCAAAGAGTCAGCTTTATTTTTATAAATAGATGAATAGTAAATATAATTAACTTCTTGGTACGAAGGTACTGTTTAAAAGTTTAACTTGTAATTACTTTGAAACATAAAACAAAATTGTAAAAAATTGATCTAAGACTCACCTCGCGAATATTCATGTAATAATGAAGATACTAATGGAAAAGTAAAATACAATGATTTTTAATACAAAATAAATGACATGTGTTCAAAATATCTACCATCAATTTCAATACATGCACCACACCTTTGAATTCATTTTCCTCACATTCGTTGAAACCTACAGCTACAATTCTTGAAACCGCTGTAGATAGATATAACAGCCGTTTTCGTCCTGTCCTGTAGATGGAGCAGTGAGTCACTCTGACTTGGACCATTACCGACAATATCGAATATATATTTTTCCACCCGCCAGTTTGAGCTATAATTTCCAGGACCAGGAACAACACTACCAGTATCAAGAAGACGTTAAGAATCATCAATGTATGTCCTTCTATTAGGCAGCTGCTATTGGGGAAACCGATAGCAGCAAGCATTCCCATAAATTAATAATATTATATCGCGATACTCACATATGCTATTAAAAAAAAATAAAAGAGAAAATGATGAAACGCAGAAACATTTCCGACAATCGACAAGCATGAAAGTCAAAATAATACCTGATCACTCTGCTAGCAACATACCACATTTGCCGTATCGGCTTTATCGAATTTTGTTAATTAATAAAACTAGTTTTTGTATTAAACCTAAAATTAAACAAATTCAAGGAAGTTGTAAATATTGCACCTTATGGGATTCTGTGCAGAAAATTATGTCAAGGTTGAATTTTATA